TGGCCTTGGCAAAAAGATGAAACCCTGTCAGGAAAATTAAACTAATGCCAAAAAGGGCTGGGGGATGGTGGCTGAAGTGGTTAAGACTTGAGCCCTGAGTTTAACACCAGTAATGCAAAAAGAAGAAAAAAAAAAAAAAAAAAAAAATCAAGTCCTTTAAAACATTTAAATTAACTGACACTGAAAAACACAGATTGGTTCTGGTGGCTCACACCTGTAATCCTGGCTACTCAGGAGGCAGAGATCAGAAGGATTTTCAGTTCAAAGCCAGCCTGGGCAAATAGTCCACAAAAGACTTTATCTTAAAAAACCCTTCACAAAAATAGGGCTGGTGAAGTGGCTCAAGGTGAAGGCACGCGGCCCAGAATTCAAGCCCCAGTACTGCAAAAAAAAAAAAAAAAAAAAAGTTTGGTTATTCGTCTAATGACCTAAAACAAATGGCTAAAACCTAGGTGGGATCAAGAAGCTATAGCCTGTTTACAGAGAAGAGGGAGAGGTCAGGTACTGGTTTGGAATGGGAAGAATGACAATTTTTAATACCTATCTTGAAATACTGAAACATTTTGGGTCACTCCCTACTATGTTTAAAAACACAGCAGTAACGAAATATAAACAAGAATACCATCTTATTCTCAACATCAGTTTCTGTCATGAAATTAAAAGTGCTTGCAACTAATAATCTACAACACAAAAAACCAGGAATGGCCTCCATCCTCATCGCCAGCAAGGAGACTGGTTAAATGCCAAAGGATACCTTGATATTTACAAAAGCCAAAAAACATATATTCATTCATTATTCTCCTAATTTCTAATGTTATCATTATTGCCCACTGATCATAAAACAATCTTCTTTGACTTGACGTGGTAATAAAAAATTTACATCCCAGAAGAGTAAAAGGAGGAGCTCCTTCTTAGGATATTTGACCACTAAGTGTACTCAAATATGAACAGAACACAATTTCGGGGGGGAAAAAAAAAATCAGGCTAATTTATTTGTTTTATAAAACAAAATAGAATGAAACATCTTAGTTTAGCTGGTCAAGAGGTGACAGTTTTAGGTGTCATCTTCACCAAGAATAAATCCATGGTATTTTTTATTCATGCATGTAAGACAGGAAATTGAGTTCCTGCTGCCTACTCAGTTACTTCAATAATTTTCTTAGTAAGCCAAAGTAGTAAAAACACCTTGGATTTGGTTATTCTTTAAAGTCACAACTTCCAGATGTTCTGGAAATAACAAATTCAATTTGGTGTGTTCTTGTGTTCCAAGATGGAACAGTAAGTTCATAGCTGTCACAGCTTTCAGATGCTGTGACCAATTATTTGGGAGTTGTAATCTGCAGGCTCCATTTTCAAGATATGTGGGATGACACTGTCGATTCGTACATTCCCAATGAGACCTTTGAAAAATAGCTCTTCAGTGATGGTAGCATTCATTAATCTCAAAGCTGGCAATCTGAGCAGCAGTCTGGATAACCTAAAAGAAAAAAGGAGGGATTTAGTAGAAGAATTTTAATAATTTCTGCATGTTTATTACTTGTGTTCTAATTTAGTAAGTATCTAATTTTCAAAAGTTAAAGCTAAAACTAGATTCTCAAACCTTAGGGTATACGATGATAACCTGGATATATTAATGCAGTATGAAAGACATAGGAAAGCCTTCCTCTTAATTGCTATCCTGTGCTGGCAGTAAGAACTCTGGAACTAGGTTATTAAACCACAGGCCAGGTTTTACATTTAAGAATGGTTTAGCTGGACGCTGGTGGCTCACACCTGTAATTTTAGTTACTTGGGAGGCTGAAATCAAAGGATCACAGTTTGAAGCCAGCCTGGCAAATAGTTTACCAGACAGAGCTCCACAATAACCAAAGCAAAATGGACTGGAGGGGTGGCTCAAGTGGTAGAGTGCCTGCTTTGCAAGTGTGAAGCCCTGAGATTAAACCTTGGTCCCACCAAAAAAAATAAAAAAATAAGACTTAGCAACTCATTTCGTATTGTATTGTAAGAACAGCAGTGTTCTGTGTTGTAGGGACACATGAGGTGTAACTTCTCTTGATTTTTTTCTGCAAAGAAACTAAGGGGACCAGGAACTAGAAAAAAGGTTAGTTGAGAAGAATTAACTTAGAAGGTTACACACATGTACAGGAAATCAATTCGAGTCAACTCCCTATATGGCTATCCTTATCTCAACTAGCAAAAACCCTTGGTCCTTCCTATTACTGCTTATACTCTCTCTTCAACAAAATTAGAGATAAGGGCAAAATAGTTTCTGCCTGGTAGCAAGGGGTTAGGGTGGGTAAGGGAGGGAGCAGGGTGGGGGGTGGGGTGGGGGAGGTGTAGGGGAGGAGGGAGGGGGAGAAATGACCCAAACATTGTATGCACATATGAATAATAAATTAAAAAATAAATAAAAAGAAACTACCAGCAATGGTACAACAGGCAATAGTTATTATCGGGAAGAGCACAAATATGGAAGGAATTGAGACCACTGGGTTCAAATCTTGGCTCAAATGCCCCCTAGTTATATAAATGTACACAAGCCATCTGTTAATCTAGCTTTTTCACGGTGCTACTGTGAAGATGAATGACATGGTTTCTGCCAATTTATGCTAGATATTGAGGTTCCTACGGGCAGGACCATGTCTTATGTGAAAGTGCCTTTTAAGTTGAAAGTTGCTATCCAAGAATAATTACTTTTAAATTAAGTAGGAATGAAAAAAGTTTGAGAGTTCAGCCAAAGCACCTGCAAGCTAATGAAACAGCTGTATGTCTAAAAGGAGGAAAAGTATAATGTGTTCATGTACATAAAGGAGACAAAATGCAGCTTGTGAAACTGAAAAACAACACAACAAAAACCATCTCTCTATGTCATTTCTTCTTTCCTAAGGCCTTGCACTCTGACACTCGAGACCAAATAAACCAGAGCCCCCACAGTTGAGTGGTTTACTCCTCAAACTACCCAGTTCCTGTTTGTTCCCAACAGCTGAGCTGGATCCACAGAACCAGTAGAAAGCAAGTTAGGAAAACTGGTTAGACAAACCTAGGCTGATTTTCTTGATGCAGCTGGCTCATAAATCTACATTACTTAATATATAAGAAATACCATTATACATAAGAAATGTTCTTTTACTAGTTTGAAGTATGCTAAACTAATGTTTTATTTATAAGCAAATACCCTATGTAGCTCTTACTACATAACAGGCATGGCTCCAAGCACTTTACACACATTAACTGATTTAATTCCTATAATAATCCTTATTATAATAAAATATAATAAAAATCTCCTTCCCGGGGGGGGGGAAGGGGAGGGCTAAGTTCCAAGATCCCAGTGGATGCCTGAAGCATGGATAATTTCAAACTCTCTATATACTGTTTTTTTCCCCTAGACATACAAACCTACAATAAAGCTAAACTTATATAAATGAGGTACAAGATGAGACTAATAATAAAATAAAACTATATACTGTAATAAAATTACAGCATCCTTACTTTTGTGTTTTGGCACCTCTATTAAGTAAAATAAGGGTTCCTTTTTTTTGTGGTCCTGGGGCTTGAACTCAGGGCCTACATCTTGAGCCACTCCACTAGCCCTTTCTGGTGAAGGGTTTTTTTGAGATAGGGTCTCACGGAACTATTTGCCTGGGCTGGCTTCGAACCACGATCCTCCTGAGTAGCAAGATTACAGGCATAAGCCACCGGCACCTGGCTAGGGTTTCTTGAACACAAGCTGTAACTGAGATACTGCAATGTCTGATAATCAAGATGGCTATTAAGTAATTAACAGGTGGGTAGAATCTACAGGATGCTGGACAGAGGATGATTTACGCCAAGAGCAGGATGAAATGGGACAGTATGAGATTTTATCATGATATTCAGAACTGCACACAATTTAAAAGTTATGAATTATTTCTGAAATTCTCCACTTAATACTTTTGGGCCAAGGTTAACCACAGGTAACTGATGCCAAAGATAAATATGCCTACTATACTTGCAAACAGTGGATACTATTATCCTAAGGAAGCTGAAAAAAAAATGTTAAGAACAGTTGGTCAAAGTGGTACACATCTGAAATAACAGTGACTCAGGAGGCTGAGGCAAGAGGATAGTGAGTTCGAAGCCAACCTAGGCAAGAGCAAGACCACATCTCAACAAGTATGCCAGACAGTGGTGGTACGGTACATGCTTGTAATCCTAGCTACATGGGACACATAGGTAGGAGAATCATGCCCTGGCGAAAACTGAGACACCCTACTTGAAAAAATAATGAAAGCAAAAAAATGGGCTGGATGCATGCTCAAATAGTAGCGTGTGCTCAAGTGGCAGACCGTCTACCTAGCAAGTACAAGGCCCTGAATTCAAACCCCAGTACAGTCAAAAAGCAACCAACCAAACAAAAAGAAGTTAACTTGCCTTAAGTTCATGAGCTAGTAAGTGACAGAATGAAGACTCAAATCCAGATTCTCTGGCTTGGAAAGCTGTGTGCTTAAACACTTTCCTATACTGTCCCTCTTCCAAAGCTGACTGGCTTTTATAAAAGACTTTCTTTTTCTTTTTTGTAGAGCTGGGGTTTGAACTCGGGGCTTTACACTTGTAAGGCAGGTGCTGTAATGCTTGAGCCATGTTTCCAGCCCCAAAAGATTTTCCCCCTAAGGACACTGGAAAAAAATTACTTTGAAGAAATTATCATAGGCCATTTTCAGAATTAGTTGCTTAACAGTTTAAATCATCTCCCACCTTTATAATCAAATTCATTATTTCATCTGAAGAAAGACTTTGGGCTCCAGAATTGGACTACCCGGGTTCAAGTCAGGCTCTGCCATTTATTGTTGACCTTGAACAAATTACTTAACCTGTCTCTTCTGTTATATAAAAATGTGAGAACTGATTAACATCAGTTTAAACAATGCACTGTTACCTCTCCGCCCCCCCCCCCAGAGGACCCGATGTGTCGAACATGCTCGCCGCTTAACTAAACCCCAGCCCTGGTGCCACTGCTTCCCACCTTGTGGTGCTAGGAATTGAACCCACAGTCTTGCACATGCTAGGCAGGTGTCCTACCACTAAACTAAATCCACACTATGTCTTTTATTAGCATTAGCTATTTCAAAGATCAAGGTTGATTAAAACACTGAATTACTCAGAGTAGAAAATAATGAAGTAACAGTCATTAAAAAGTTTTAAAATAAATTTAATTAAATAGTATTAAATGTCTAGATACCTGTAGGTGTCATCTGGATATGTTCTGGTTATATAATCCTGGAATTCCACATAAGCCTTTTCCTGAAATTTCTCAATCTGTTCCATGTTTTCTAAGCCTGGATGGTCTGAAACATTAAAGAATATATGTCACCCTAGTTCTGAATGCTCATTTAATAAGACACTGAAAGTGGAGCTGGAGAAGTATGAAGAGTGGTTCACTATGTCGCTCTTACATTCCATAAATATTTACTGAGCTAGTATAAACCAATCTCTGTACTTTATCCACTTGAAACTGTTTTATCTTCTATGTCTGTTCGAACATCTAATAAAAAATGAGACCACTGGGTGTTATAAAAATAAGTAGTTTTCTCTGTTCCAAAAGTGGTGGAAAGGATTTTGACAAATTTTATGTTTCTAACAGTAGCAAACAACCAAAAAGATTCAGTTTACTTAAAAAACAAAACACTTGAAATCCATTAAATATATGTAAATTACATTCTATACCATACTTTTATACAAAAAAAAAGCCCCCAATATTGTTAGGTAAAAAGGTACTTTGAAACATAATCATTATCTTTATAGAAAAACTGTAGCACAGAAATATGAAAATAATAATCCATAAGCATTACAATGGTCACTGAAACACTTCACAAAAATGGAAATATAAAAGAACTTCTCAGTATTATTCTAACCTTTCCATTTTCACCTAAGAAAATGAAGGTGGCAAATTGCTTGTGATAAGAATGGAGAACGTGGGCTGGAGGTGTAGCTCTGTGGTAGAGTGCGTGTCCACCACATGTGAGGTCCTATGTTTGATCCCCAACCACAAAGAGAAAAGGAAATAATACAATAAAAATGGAGATGCTTGTTAGTAACTCATGGGAAACACTAGAAGAAACAGAACAAAAGGCTTTAGTTATTGTATTGATATTGCTGAGGGGAAGAAGCAGGTTTCTTTGGATAATTTTATTACAATATACAGGAACAGAAGTACATGCCAAAATGAAAAACACAGAACCTAAGAGAACTGTCAACTTCCTCTATTCAGAAATTGATCACTGAGCGCTTACTGTCATTTTACTCTCTGTGAAGACTAGAAACTAGCAGGAAAATAAGAGACCCATCTTTCTGTTTGCTGGCACTCTAATAAGACACTTGGTAATTTAACCCCTTAATACAGCAATAATTGGTTCATATTCTGGCATTTACTAATGCCTCACAACATATACCTAAGAATTCAAATGCTGATCTGACAACAGAAATACAGGTCTATGTCTTCCTTTTCATACTCATGTCTAACATTCTTAAAACTTACCAATTAAAGTATATAATTAGATGATTTTTAGTATATTCATGGTTGTGGAACCATTGCCACAATCTAGTTTTAGAACATTTTTGTTTCTCCAAAGTAACCCTACACCCAATAGCAATCACTATTCACTACCTCCCCTTCTTCGACCCTAGCAATCACTAATCTATACTTACATTACTAGTTTTGCCTGTAACAGAATGGAATCAACATGTGTTTCTTTGTAAGTGGCTCCTTTCACTTAGCATTCATGTTTTCAAGGTTCATCAATGACACTCCACTCTGTATATATCGCATTTTGTTTATTCATTCATCTGTTGATGGGCACTTGGGTAATTTCCACTTTTTGGCAACTTTGAATAGTATTGCCATGAGCATTTGCATACCCATTTTTGTGCAGATATATATTTTTGTTCACTTGGGATGAGAGGAATCGAACTACTGGGTCATATGTTAAACATATTACATTTAACATTTTGAAGGCAACTTTACCTTTCATATTCCTACCAGCAATGAGTGAAGGTCCCAATTTTCCCACATCCTCAAACACTGTACTTGAATTTGAAGTAAATGTTTATATACCTGGACTGAAGAGGACTATTGCCTTCAGGTAGGCATATTCATATCCATCAATACAGAGTTTAACCATGCTGTTACAAAACTCCTGTAGTTTGAAGATGTGCTCCATCAATAATTTTCTCCTTTCTGGTGACATTTTATCTTTAAAAAATAAACAAATGTTTTTGATTTTTATCTAAAATGTATTACTATTTTCATTCATTTCCCCCTCATCAATTTCCAATTTCAAATAAAACCAGTCTGTAAGTATTTAAAATTCAGAATCTTTGGATTATAGACAAAACCAGCTTCAGATGTTGTTTGTTTAAAAAAAACAAACAAACCCAAACTATTAGTAAAGAAAACTCAAATGTAATGTTTCTTTTCAAGATACAGCTTTGAGAAGATATAAGGGAACCATCTGAAAAACTGGCCAACCAAAGTACAAGAGACTCAAATTTTGGTAAAAGGATTTTATTTAAGCTTATATTGGTTGGAAAAAATGAGCAAAACCATATTCATTTTAAAAAGTTAGCAACTCTACTATAATAAAAACAAATATTTAGCAAAAAGCACTGCCAAGGCCAAAGAAGAATTGACAAAAATAAAGTTTTATAATAAATATCTTGGTTTACTGTGATGGGCTAGGTATAAAATATATCCATTAGCATTTAGCAACTAACATTTCATGAAAGTAGGCTACATAAGGCATTACAGATGTCCGAGGAATGAATAAGGACTGTAAGTCCATAAATAAGATGGGAATGTGGGGCTGTCCTCCAGTAGATCTAGTGCTGATGAGATTTTTAAGTGATTCCTCTGCCCTTAAATAGTAAGATGATTTAAAAATGAAAACAATGAAAAATAGAATGCCCCAAGAACTAAAGAGCAATCACCAATTTATAAATTACTCCTGAGCCCAAAATGTAGCAACACCCTTTTGATTAGTCACAAGCTATTCTAAAGGTAAAGCATTTATAAATTAGTGACTGCCTGTCTCCTCAAATGAATGAGTTATAATCCCCTGGACACCTAGAATTAGAAAAAAGAAATAAGGATTATTTCATGACTTTTCAATTCTCTATTTTTTTTTTTTTTTTAGTAGGACTAGGGTTTGAACACAGGGCTTCATACTTGCAAAGCAGGCACTTTACTGCTTGAGTCATGCCTCCAGTCCATTTTTGCTCTGGTTATTTTGGAGATGGGGGTCTGGTAAACCATTTGCCCAGGCTGGCTTTGAACAGCAATCCTCCTGATCTCAGCCTCCCAAGTAGCTAGGGTTACAAGTATGAGCCACTGGCACCTGGCTTCTCTGTCTTTTTTAAAGTTTTGCTATGTGGCCCAGACTACCTCAGACTCAGTGATCCTCCTGTCTCAGCCTCCTGAGTGCTATGATTACAGGCATGCCCCACCATGCCCAACCTCTCTTCAGTTCTCTAGGTGAAAGAACCCACCTAGAGATGATAAACTGACACACATCAGCCTATATTGGGATCCAAAGGGTTATAATGAAGAAAGGTAGTTTAAAAATTTATGAGTATACGTTGTAAGTATCTGATCAACTGTATCTGGATTCTTAGGTACCTGTATCAAGGTACAAACATTCATGAGCAATACCTGTACTACATTGGTTTGTCTCTGGCAAAATTCATGATGAAATTAAGGGGGATTAATGTCTTTCTTAAAAGACCAGGTTGGTTTTTGGGAGAGCAGGTTGTTATAAAAGCAGGTTTAGTTTTCTCTGATCCCTCTTGATGCTTCTCTCACCATGTGTTCTCTCTTCTGTAGGTACCTACTTGCCTTTCTGTTTTTCCATCACAAGTTCCTCACCAGAAGCTGAGCAGATGCTGGTGCCAGGCTCTTCTACCTCTGGAATCATGAGTCAAAACCTTTCTTTATAAATAATCCAGTCGGAGGCATTCTGCTTTTTTAGCAATAGGTAACAGACTAAGACAGCCTGCCAGACTTAAATATCCTAGTTTTAATTATGCTGAACTCTCAATTAAAATATTTTTGGATGACTATTAGATTTATCAAAATTTAAAAATCATCTAAAGTGAAGAGGGTTGTGCTATCTAACACACCAATACCATCATCAGGATACCACTTAGGTCATAATGTTTTGTAAAACTGATGGCTTCTCCTACATCTTGGAAAAGATAGTAAGTAAGGGGCTTTTTACCTTGTTGAAGGCTACCGTGAAGACAGTTGACAAATGTTGCTAATATGGTTGCTACATTCATCACTTGCCAGCACTGGGCAAGACCAAGAGTAAAGAGTTCATTCCAGTAAGCTTTTACCAATGATATGCTGTTTTCTGGCCTAGTAGAAACAAAAACAAAAGCATAAATCAAATACTATTAAAATAAACTTTACAACTGATCTATGCACTTAAAAATAAAATTACTCTAGAAAGACTAATTGGACATGTAATTGATCAGTTCTGTGTTTTGTATAGCTGACAGCAATTTATTTGTTTTTCTGATACTGGGGCTTCAATTCGGGGCCTATACCTTGTGCTACTCCACCAGCCCTTTTTTTGTGATGGGATTTTTCAAGATAGGGTTTTGTGAACTATTTGCCTGGGCTGGCTTTGAACTGTAATCCTATTGATCTCTGCCTCCTGCGTAGTTAGGTATACAGGCATGAGCCCCTGGCATCCAGCATAGCTGACAACTGATGAGCAGAAGTTCAAATTATCAATCAGCCAGTTTATAAGAATTATAAATAATATTTTAAACTAAAACAGCTGCAGTTTTAATCTGCCATTTCATGGAAGTAACTGAAATAAAAGATTTTAAAAAGGCAAAAGCATATATTTAACAACTTTTCTTAAACTTTTACTTTGAATACAAGCAAGTACTTTTTTAAAAACAGAGGGCAATGAGAATTACTTGGTAGAAAGCAATCAATCTAGTAGGAGAAACGGTTCACTCTATGATTCAGATGAAACATTAGTGTCTCTATAAATGAGATGCCCAGGATTTTAAAATTAACAAGAAAGATCTGAAATCTGTTTCTGAATTTCTGAGTAAGAAATCTCAGCAGCACAAGTCAATAGTAAACACAGAAGAAGGGTCAAAGTACTGGGGTCTAAATGTCACACATTTGAGATTAGGCAAACAGGCTTTCCAGGTCTCAGGTGGCCTAACTACATAAAATGAAGTGATCCTGTATGTCCTGTATCTTGCTTATAATTATTAAAGGGTGCATGTTCTCACTTACATGTGGTAGTCAAAAAGTTAACCTCAAGGAAGTAGAGGACAGACTCAGAGCCTGTGAAGGCATGGGAGGGAGAGACAAAGAGAAGGTGTATAATGGGTTCAAGGGTACAGCTGGACAGGAGTAACTTCTTATATTCTATTGTAGGGTAACTACGATGGCCAATAATTGCTTGGTTATTTCAAAATAGCTAGGAGAAGATGTTGAACTACTTTCCCAACACAAAGAAATTATGTATCTGAGCGACAGATATATCAGTTACTTGGATCTGGTCATCCTACATTGTATGCACACACTAAAATGTCATGTTGCCCCACATAAATATGTAAAATTCCTATGAATCAATTACAAATAAAAACGTATTGGAAAAATTATATGAACAGGTCCTGACATGCTAGGTACTTTCCCTAGGCACTGGAAAAATAGCAATTGACAAGATGGATTAAGTCTGCCTTCATGAAAGAGGACGGTAACATAAACACACAATTTCCAATATTTTATATAAATACTGTACATAATATATACATGATAAACACACATGTTATGTTATTTTTGGTAATAAAAACTACATTGTTATAAAGTAAGATGCTACATAAGAAAATAAGAGAAGGCCTGTGTGAGGCAGTGACACTTCAGCCATATGAGGAAAGATGAGAGGTAACTTTTTAAAAAATAAAAAAAGATTAAAGTAGGTAATATTCCAGGAAAAAGGAAGAATAAGTACAAACTTGCAGAGGTGAGAACGAGCATGAAGTAAGTGTTTAATAAAAGGTGTTGAACAAACTACTAAATGCTATCCTATGTTTTTCTCAGCCTTGTTTTCTTAGGTAACAAACCTATTCATCCTTTAATACGTAACTCAGAGCTCACACTCTTGAAACATTCTGACAACACTCCTCTCTCCATTCCTCCATCAGTGCTACCTCCACATTTATATTTCATACACATTTTATGGTACCCTAATTTATTTAGGGGGGGGTCTCAGCCATTCTAAGATTAAATTCTCTGTGAAGGCAGACTTTCTTATGCATTTCTGTATCTCAGTGAACAGTAGACAGTACATGGCATAAGCAGAAGTGAGAATTTAGAAAAGGCAGAGTTAGAAAACTATGGGCATGAATTCCTTTTATTATTTATTTCTTTAGTTTGTTGTTGCTGTTTTAAAGACTGAGTCTCCCTACATAACCCAGGCTGGCCTTGAACTCATAATCCTTCTGCTTCAACTTTGGAGTGCTGGGATTACAGGCACGATCACCATGTCTGGCTGGCTTTTTTTTTTTTTTTGGTGGGACTGGGGTATCAACTCAGGGCTTCATGCTAGCCCATGGTCGAGTATCACCCTGAGCCACGCTTCCAGTCCATTCTGCTCTGGTTATTTTGGAGATGAGGTCTCATGACCACTTTCCCCAGCTGGCCTTCAACTGCAATCCTCCTGATCTCAGCAAAAAGTAGCTAGGATTACAGGTGGGAGCAAGAGCACCCAGCCTGGCTGGTCCTTTTACAACCATAAATAAGGAAGTTATATTATTTCTGTCCTTTCTCCAGAGATTTAAGTTTGGTAAGAATATCCTGATAGGAAATATGTTCACCCTGATGAATTGTTTTTAATTTTTTTCTTAATAAACCTTTTAAATTAAGATAATTTAGTGTTAATATTCATTACGAATCACAGGGCTAGCAGGGTGGCTCAAGTGGTAGAGCAAGGCCCTGAATTTAAGCCCCAGCATCACCAAGAAAAAAAAAAAAATCATAGCCTTCCAGCCAGGTGTGGTGTGCATGCCTGTCATC